TCTGCAATGGGTAGGGTTTTCGCTCATCCAAAAAATCAAAATTATTTAGAACGATGGTTGCACACCTCTAACTAGGTTTTGGAAGGAAACTTACTGAAATTAGATTTGAAAGATAGACGTTATCATTTTGCTTATGTCTTGAAATGGAAGCTTTTAAATAGATTCTTAAAATTTTTATGTCCAAACCCGGTTCGGCCCTTTTGTCTAAATTGGAATTGAGAAATATAAATAAAACGCTTTTTTTTATAAAGTTAAAAATCACAAATTGCTTTTGTCCTCATTCCAGAGATATCTAATTACATATCGTTTTATTTATTTTTACTAGAAAAAGAAATTTATCATTTTATTTTATAAATAAAAGAAAAAAACATCAGCGGCTTAAATACTAACTAACCAAAAAAGCAAAAGAAAATTAATTTTTAAAAAAAAGAAAGAAGAAAACAAAAAAAAACGAGAATAAAATACGAAAAATAACATTGCCACTAAATACTTAAAACAAACCAAAAAAATAGGATGTACTGGTTCAAAACAAAAACTTTTTAGTACCAATTTAAGCTTGAGCTGGGGGCGAATTTATTTTGTTCTCACTTAGACGTTGTGCCACCCTTTTTATTGGACAAGTAGCTTTGTTTACACTTAATTTTATTATTATATAAAACTTCATCTTATTTTTTGGTTGTTTGCTCTGTTATCAATAAAAAAAGTTATAAATTTTTAAAGAATATAACGATAAGAATTTGAACTCGATCTCAACCATCATATTTCATCCCCCCCCCCACCCCACCCCTTCTTTATATATATTGTTTTTTCACACAATATTGTTATCATCGGTACCAAATATTTAAACTTTGTTTTTTTTACCATTTTTTGCATATATTCATTCTCGCAACACATTATTCACCTTTTGGAAACGAATGAAATTGTTTAAGATAACAATAATTTCATTAACGCATCCCGATACGAAACAGTGATGCAGTTTAAAATCAAATATACTATATTTATTTTATATTATATTTATAATATTGTTTTAAAAAAACTTTTTTTTTATTCTGATTAAAAAAAAATAAAATAATTTATTGAACTTTATTGTACAACTTTCGCATTTTTTTTATTATTATAAAATAATTTTAATAAATAAATTTGAAAAAAATATAATATAAATTTTTTTTTTTACTGAACCACAACATAACACTGTTAAAATAAGAATGTATTTATGATGGGGAGCGGGTAAGGTTACATCTGATTAGTACCGATCCTAAATTGTTTATTCATCATGCCAAATTTTCACAAATATATGAATCCCATAACTTAATTATATTATAATTTCTTTTTCCTTTGTTTTATTTCTCGGTGGTACCGACATTTTTATCAAACCAGCCTCTTCAGCGCAGTGCTAACTACTCCCTTCTCGCATAAGTCAATCAAGCTTAGATCCCTAAAGGAAAGTGGTGGGGTTGGGAGGAGGTTGGGTATAAAAATATATACCTTAGCTAAAGATCTGACATGTTCTATCAGTTTACAGGATTTTCAAAGATAAAAATTGTTAAAACGCGGGATAAGCTTTTCACATTTTATACAACGCGTTATGAAAATTTGGTCTAACAATTACAAATTTATCAATTTATTTCAATATTAATCATTTTTTTTTACTAGTCAATATTTAAAATGATCAAATTTATATATGTCCGATAAGTATGCTCTATTTAACACTTGCCTTTAAGCAGGGCGAACCGTCCCGAACCCTCGATATTTCTAAACCCTTTTTTAAAATGTAAGATTTTAAAGGTCCAAGCTTTTTAATCATGGAAATCTTAATGGCGATATTTTAGAAGATATTATGATAATTCGCATAAATTAAAATTTTAAAGTAGAAATATAATATTATTTTATGAATTATATTGTAATTATGTTATTAAATCTATTATTAATTATGATGATAAATTATTTTTATGGCAATTCTAATTAAAATAAATTTAAAAAAAAAATGATATTTCTGGTATTATAACTAATTTTTATAAGTCAATATTTTTCTGGTCTCCAACCCTGAACCCGAACCGTGTTCAGAGATTTTTCACTGAACCCAAACCCATTTTTTAGAGCTCTGCTTTAAGGCAATTTATATTTATCCGTTTGATTATTGATTAGACTTCTAATAAATTAAATAACATTGAAGATAAAGAAAGATGGTTTTTCTTCCCGGTCTATAAATTAAGCTGAATAATATGCTCTGGCAGCATTTGAATAAAGAATTGAAACTACAAACTTCCATTACTAATAATAGGTTGAGTAGCATTCAAGCTTCCTTTTTTTATCATTGGATCCAAGATAAAATTAAAATCAAGCAAAACATTCGATCCCTTATGGCAACGCAACTACTTAAAATTAATTTATTTAAGGTGTTTAATCCATTTAACTGAGCTCATATTTTTGCTTAAACATCCGCTTGTGACACTTATATGAATATACATTTTTTTGTATATATTCTTAGTTATCGCACACTATAATCTCTCCAATAACAACAAAGGAAATAAAAAATTATAATAATTTTTTTAAATTTCATTTTTATAAATAAAAAATATATAAATCTGTAGTATTTATAAAATAAATTATTTCTTTTTTGGGGGGAGGGGGGGGGGTGGTGACACCCTAGATGATTTAATGGAATCATAAGACCCTACCCCAGTGATTCTAACTAAATGACTACATAATAAACCCCTCCCCATGGTGATAGAGGGCACAGTTTAGACGAGATTAGGTTTATTAAATAGAAATCTGGGTTGGGGTAAATATCGTCAATCATATTTGAGGAAACTGCTCTGCACGGATATATTTTTTAATGTCCAATCAGAGGACAAAAAATTTTTTCGCTAAGATCCTAATATTTTTTGTTCCTCGCGCGATCCAAGTCCGATCCAAATTTTGGACTGATAAAAGTACCATTTTTTTAAAGAAAAACGAAATTATTATAAGCGCACTAAAGAATAATGAAACCGACCTAGTATGAGAAAATTACCTGAGATTCGAAGTTGGACTTAGACATGTTCCTCCAGGACCTGGTGACCACTGGCTCTGTTTATGAACCTTTTATGATAATTTTATATCTTGATCATGTGCTCATAAATGTTATAACCCGTTCGAACCTGTTCGATCAATTCGCATAAAGGCAGAAATTATTATCTTACTTTTCTTATTACTGCGTTTTAATATGTTCTCCCTCTTTCTTGAGAAGTAAAAATTGTAATTATCTGATCAGACTAACGCATACCGACTAGGTTCAAACTTATGATATGGATTCGTTGTTTTTGATTAAAGTAAAACTTTTATCGCTTAAATATTTCGTCGCTTAGGCAAAAAATTTTTTTGCTCTTAGATGGCAATAAGGCTTCAACATCTATTAACGAAAATTTCGAGGCTTGCATAATATTATTTTGGCTAAAATCTTAATTTATAAATAGCTAAATGAGCCGTTTAACAACACTACACTGGACTCATCATATATATTTTTTTAAATATTATATTGTATATAATTTTAAGATAATTGTTGTTTGAATTTGTTTTAAAAATTATATTTACCTAGTTATACATTTATAATTAGGAGGAACAAACAAACCATTAATTAGTTCCTAAAATAATAAGGATTTCCTTTGTTATATTGTATTTAAAATTAGTCAGTTTTTACCACAGTTTTTAAAAAAAAATGTAATTATTTAAGGCAGAGATTTTTCAGAGTTCGTAATATTAAGCTCTGTCTAGTTGTAAATTTTTTTTTTCATTTTCAAAACCAGATTTTGTTAAATTATACTACTTTATGCCAAGGGGCGGGTTCTGGACCCATCCTATAGGTTTCTGGTGTAATAATGCCACTGGTAACAAAAAAATGAAATTTTAGTTACTTTTTTAATTTTAAAGTAACGTTTTTATTACAATAGATCTCTGTAAATGAAGAGTTCTGGCCTACGATTTTTTCTATCTAATCTTTCTCATCTACAATTATTTAAAATTAGTTTTTGCCAGAATTTTCATAGGTGGATGGAGGCGGATCTGATTTTTAAAAAGAATGAAATGTAATATCGATATTTTTTTTACGCCATCAGAATTCAAACAAAATTTTTTTTTTGCCAAGTAGATATATTATTCGATAATTATCGTAATTCATAAAGTGCATTAATCATTCTTTTCATCTTGAATTATCGATTACTTACGACACATTTAATGAACCGTATACAATATAATATAATTTTTTTTAAATAAAAAGAAAATTTTAAAAGGGAAAAATGACATCTTTAAAATATTTTTTGTAAATGAATATGTATAATATATCTATAAGTACATAATTTTTCAAAAAATATGTTAAATAATCCTTCAAACAAGAATAGATTTTCATTTTATAGATTTGTAAAAAAAAATCAGATATAAAATGTTTTAAATTTGTTACAAAAAGTAATGATTTATTTTTAAAATATAAACTCCAAGGAAAATTGTGAATTAAATTATATTTAATTTATAATTTTTTTTTAAAAAAAATCGTATACTTTATATCAACCTATAAAATTAATTCCAGTTTGTCTATCCTCCTGAATACAAAGACAATGATGGCTTTTAAATGGTATATTATACCTCTTATATACGGATAATATATCTCGAGGAAATTTTTGATCAGGGGTTTAGCTAGACGCGTTTAATTTTTTTTTTCCCGACCCTTAAAATAAATTTGTAACAAGTTTTCCGAGCGATGATCCATAATAATTTTTTGATATGAAAAGACGATTTGCTTAAGACCACATAAATAATATTGTGCACAAAATATCTGGCTTGGAAATCTATATTTTTGGTTCTGACCTTTAATAGGCACTTTGTAAATGTCTGCTAAATTTCAAGGGAAAAAATTTTATTAGAAAAATTATTTTTCGTGTCGACCGACATCTTCTAATGCACACCATAAAATAATAAGCAATTTAATTTGCTATTTTATTAATCAAAATGTATAATTTACAATTTAGATTAATCCATGGACTAACTTTTTGCGGAGCTTAGCGATTTTTCATTTATCATTTACCAAGTTATGGCATTCTTAATTTTAAAAAGTTTCCGGACCACGAATATATTTTTATTGGTCTAATACCACTCAAATAATGACGAAAGTAGGCGAGCCTAATTTCGCGTTCAACGGGCATGGCCACCACGATCCTTACGACCACGATTATTTCGACTATTTGCCTATTCATCAAACCAACGGCTCCAATATCACTAATTGTATCCCCAGGGGCAATGTTTCAGGGGAAACTGGTGCTGCGACCACCTTAAAGTATACTTATAATCAACCTCGCTTGATATTGGATAGGACGAGAGCTCTCCAATCGAAACAGCTATTGCTTCAAAAGCGAAACGCTCGTATATTGAATATCGATACGACAGATGGTGGTGATGATGACATTAACATGGCACATAATCTTTCTAGCCTTTGCAATTGCGAGCCAATATTGTCCTCGAGTGAACAGGCCGCCAGAGGGGTCTTAGTTAACCGGCGACATGCCATAAACTTAGCAAAGAGGACATTTTTGTCAACCACTTCTCACCTTTCCGATAAAGGTAATAATTATATTTTTAAAAAAAGATTATTTGGTAAAATTTAAAAGTTTTCCTCTTAATTTTTATAATCCAGTGATAATATCTGATTAAGTTTTTGGAAATATTTAGCCAATTCGACATTTTTTTTATTTAAAAAAAACAAATAATGTCGGCACAGCCCTTTATCTTAGATACAACTATTCTCGGTACATAAATCTTTAATGTTGAAAAAATATATATTTTTTTAAAATAGTCAATCGAAATACACCGAATGGCTTAACTGGAAAAAAATATGGTACTCCGTCTTTTGCAAGCTCTAAAATTCGTATTGCTGATGAAAAAGAAAATTACGGTATTAAATGCATACTAATGAATTGACAATTTTTATAATAATCTACATAGAGAAAAAAGTAACTCGCGGAGAATCACATTGACAGTAAGATACATTTTCCTAAAAATATATTTGTATAATAAGCTGCATCAGGAAACCTGTAAAAACGGAAATTTCTAATACCCCTAGTAGAGATCTATAGTGGGACGTCAAGTCCGCCCTCTTGTTATTTTAAAAATTTATTAACTCGAGCGCCCGCCCACCCTTGGCTTTTTTAATTTACCCGCTCGCCTATTTATCTAAAAATTTTGTTCAACTCGCCCACCCAATACATAAAAATTATTTTAATGGCTGGTTCGTATACTTGGTTAATTACTATATTTTTAGCCGTTTAAACCAATTTTTAACCGGTAAAGAAATCACACTTGCCTTGGGATTTTTCTTAAAAATATACTAGCTCAAATTTGAAAGAAATTAATATAAATTCCCACTAGCGCCTATAGATTAAGTCGAACTAGCCGACATTTATCTATTACTCAACGATAGGTTTGGCTCTTTATTTATTTAAATGTATTTTTTAGGACTGTGGGCCGATATTTTTAAAATCCCGATCCGATATTTTTTTTAATGATTTGGTTATTTTATAATTGTATATATAATTTTTTTTATTTTATAAAATTTCATAATAATAAATTATTGTAAGGAACTGAAATACACTTTATTTGTTTTGTTACACTATTTCTTATATTATGCAACAAGAGAAAGATTAAATATCTAACAAGTCACATTTAGCTTGTGTTGTTAAAGGGCTCGATTTAGCCATTTTTTAAAAGCGGTTAACTCAAGATTTTGGCCAAAAGTAAATTATTCACCCTTATTAATTTTGCCACAAATGACAGAAAGGTTTAGACTCAGATAGCGAAATTTTTAGACCTGGTAGTTGTATTATAGCTAAAATCTTGATTTAGCCCTTAAGCAGCTTAAAATGTAATTGCGAATTAGGAAATATAACAGAACGCACAAATTGATCATTTGCGTTACTGATCCTTTGTTATTGAGAATGCCTTTTTTTGTGTATTGTTCTATTCAAAATTTTAACTAATTTATAAAAAAGTATTGGTTTTTATAAATTATATTATCGTCTGTCTTTTTATTTCATTAATTTCTAAATATTCCATTTTAAAGGTAAGTTATCTTTTTATATTAAATATATATTATATATGTTAAATTTAATGTACATAAAATTAAACAATTAGGAAATGATTCTTAGTTCCCTCTTCATTATTTTTATTCGGCTTTCTTACGAAAAATACCGAGTTCTTAAAGAACTGGCCGTATATCAGCATATAAAATGAATGAATTAAAAAGTATTGAAAAAAATTAAACCTGTGAGCGTTTTTTATGTTTCTAACGCCAAGCGATAATTTATTCAATTTACACGATACAATTTGAAATTCTTACTTTCCTTTCTATTTGTACGAACTATTATACTTAACCGAACAATCACAAATAATATTAAAACACAAAGTGATGAATCAACAATATCCAACAAAAATATAGTTAAGAATATAATAATGAATTTTTGGTAACTGTTAAAACATGAAAAATTACGCATCCGGGTCTAAGAAAGGAATCCTGGGATGATTACTATTTTGATACCCATATCTAATATTTATGTAAATTTTTGAAAAATAATCAACGATATCAAATTTTTAGGTTATAAAAAAATACTTGACCCATCAAAGACCTAGAGCCAACTCCCTTTTATTATCCAATTTTATAAAATGTTTGAAAACATTACTCACATGTAGACCCAGCAGTCAGAATATTTTTTAATATGCTTTAATTAGATATCCCTATCTAATTTTTGTTATAACCCTCCCCTCACCCCCACGTGATCAAATCGCATCCATTAGATTTTGAGATAATATCATTGATTATAGTTAGGGTTGTTAAATGGCTCGATTTTTAAAAACAGCTAATCCAATATGTTAATCAAAAAATAATACGCAAGCCTGGAGATTTTGCTCATAGATGGCAGAAATGTTTGAATTGAACATCTATTTAACGAAATCTAGAAGCTTGCGAAATAATTTTTTGTAAAATATTGGTTTAGCATTTTTTCAATCTAACCATGTAATAACACTAATTGCAGTCAACAGATATTTTAATTAGCTTTTATTTTAAAACCATGTTGCAATTAATAGCTTCCCTTGCAGTGCATAAAATTTTTTTTAACCCCCCTCTTAATGTAGACCGATAAACAGCAAAAATTGTTAATTCCTATTTCCAGGTCGATTATAACTCAAATATTATAAAGCATAATCAGATAAAATTGCATGCCGAATAATACTCTAATCTCACAGGTTTTTTTGACCTCCGATATTTACTGTTGGACGCCCTGCCATATTACCATCCCCTTTTAAGAGTTCTCCCAGAAGCATGCCTGACTATTACCATGACATGTTAGTTGCCTTCAAATTTGGTAAACCAGTTCTATCTTTGACTCCGGCAACCCTGCTTTATCCGATATTTAAAAAAAAACTTGTTCAATCTCCCTATTTTAATATCAAGAAGTTTTAAAATTGATTAACACATTTTTTTCTTACAAACATAACAATCATATTATCGGTAAAATATTAGCTAGTGCTTACACAATCAAATTTCAGAAGCGCGGTACCCAGTTTCACACTCACTAATTATTTTTGGATTCTGATGGAAAAATTGAATTCCCCTGTTGCTATAGATAGGCATATTAATATAAAGATTTTGGAGATACTGCCAAAAATGAAAGAGTCGATTTTTTTATTTCACCCATCAACTAACTGGTTTGACAAATTTATTTGTCTTTTTTTATGCACTTTTTGCATTATAACAAGTGTATTTTTTTTAGATTGGTTTAATGTATTTCATATTTAAAAAAATTTGCCTCCTAGAATTTAGATCAATTTAATAATAAAAAAAATATCAAAATTAATACAATTAGTTATAAGAAAATTTAGGCAGAGTTTAGAACCCGCACTAAAAAAAATAAGAGTTCCAGTTATGAATATTTTTTCAAAAAACATTGTTTTATTTTCTTCAAAGAACTTTCCAGAAATATAATCATATTTAAATATTACGTTCGTTTTTTTAAAGTTTTACTACATAGAAATTGGGTTATTCTTATTGCTCTATTTTTAAATGAAAAATGGCGGAGCCTAGTTTTAAACCCGAAATTATCGCATCCTCATTTTTTAAAAAAAATATGCACAATTTTGACTTAAACTAAACCTAAATAAATTAACTCACGCTTGCTTAGCGGATTTTAACACTCACCCTTCTATATTAAGCCGAATTGTCCGATTTTTCATATGTGTAAAGCAATAATAAGAAGGATTCATTTGTAGTTAGATAAAGTGTAGTATATCTCTTTATATTTATTTACCCATAAATACTTCATTCCTCAACATATTTTATTTGATTATGATAAAAAGCTACGAGACGGGCATCTTACCTGATCGCGACGACCGGCAAGTACTTGGAACCGTATTATTATCCCCACTTTTTACCTTTCGAAAATAGGGCCATTAATCGCGATGCTAAGAACGATAATACATATCATCACGCTTGCAGCCGCGATATAAATCTGCCCACTTCCATTTTTAATTGTCCTGCTCTTTCAAAAACTTTGTTACCCACCCAGAATCTCGAACATAATCTCATCTCCAAAAGTGAATCTTCGACAATGACCACCTTATCACACGACGGGTATTTGAAGACAACAGTCACGTACACTATTAACAATCAGTAAAAATACAGATAAGATATTATTCTTTGTATTTAATTTTTTTTTGCTTAATTAGCAATTATTAATACTAGCTTAACTTTTCATCTTTTTTACGATTTCTGGTTCCAACTTTATATTTTTATATATTTAATAACAGCTATCCGAATAGTCCTTACCCAACGATTAGCAAACAATTAGATAATAACCATCCACGCATTCCTTCCGATAATTTCCTTCCAATTAACCCGAAGCAAAATACACCGTTCGAATACAAAAGATTCGACAAGCAACCCATCATTTACGATCAATTAATTGATAAGGTAATTTCCAAAGTATGATTAATTTGTGATTATATTTTTTTCTCTTTAATTTTTTAATAAATTCATTTTATGTTCAAGTATAATACTTTTTGCCCTCATCATTTTTTCCAAATGGGAACAAGGTTAATTTATACCTCTATCAAATTAATTATTACTATATCTGAATTATTATTTGCTGTTTATCATAGAATGAGATTATATGAATTTTCCGAATAATTTTGTTTCTTCTTACATTGAGTTATATTCTATGCCCACATATATTTTTTCGAAAATGATATAGGCTTAAATTTTTTTTTAAAATTAGACCCTTAACATTAAGAAATCATAAGAAAATAAGTATTGAATTTCTTGGAGATTACATAATTTATATTAAAAATCATACCTTTATGTTTATTGACCTCGTCGTTATGATATTAAAATATACGAAAAATCGCCATCTATTTAATTATAAATTATATTATTATTTATGAAATTTTTTTTTATAAAGTATGAAAACACCAATAATCTTGGTTTACCGAGAAGAAAAAAATCGCATTCTCAATTGACCTTATCCCCACATGTTAAGGTAAGCAGCATTTTTTTAAAATTAAATTCAAATTTTTAAAAAAATGAATTTATATCAGTTCCCTACACGAACCTGTCCCGTCTGACCGAATTTAGCAAATTCTTGTTTTAAACTATTTTTATTCTGCCCAGACTCAAACCTCGGCAACCTCCCCGCCCCGCCCCCCGAAAAAAAATCTTACCCTCGCTCCATTATTTTTTTTCTATTTATTTTTTCGAACTGGTGGATTCGAACCTATTTATAAAATATTTAAATAAAACCGATCAGATTGGTCAGACCCGAGAAATGCTGGTCTGATGCAAGGCCCTAGCGTGAATGTGAACGTTGTAGGGTGATATATGATATATGCAACATTTATAACTTTTATATCTTTTCTTTCCTCAAAAAAAATATAATTAAAATGAAGTCATCTTTATTAGACCTGATTCAATACTCTGGAAACGACAATAATCATAACGAATCTCCTTCTCAATCTTCTTTTACTTTTGATTTCGATACATCGCCAACGTCTTGCGCCTCCAAGAAGCACAAAAGTCGTTCGCTACTTCATTTAAATGATCAAACTAAACCCTTGATATGTGCTAAAATTCCCAATAACGCGCCTTCCGGCCACACCACGAACACCAATAAATTAATCGTTTCTAACTGGGGCGCGGGTCACAAAATGGTTAGAGCTTTGAAAGAAAAGTTATCCAACTTTTTGCCCGCTTCTAGTAACATGGCCGATAACGCAATCCACCAAAAAGAAGAAAACCATCATAATAATAACAGCGTAAGTAATATCTTGAGTGAACGTTCCGTCAATTTAAAAGATAATCAGATAGTGGCTTCGAAGCCCGTGAATTGGGAAAATGGTAATAGCGGTAATAATTTAAAACTCGCGAATCATGACTCAGATAAAGATATTACGGGGCAAACATTTGGAAAGACGTTGGAAGAGGCCCTATCTTCTATCACCAATTCCGTATAATTTATTACTTAGATCAAGATATTTATTGATTGCCATCCTTTAAACATGCTTTCTAATAATTATATATAATGTCTATTAGTACTACAAATTTCAAATCATTGATACTTGAAAAGTTTAAAATTGATATTTAATGTTAATTATAATAGATTAGATAAGAATAGAAAATTAAACGATAAGAATGCGGTCCTTAGTTTATCATATATTAATATGGTAGCGTTAAAAAGTTTATAAATATTAATTTTTCATATATCATAAATAATTCAAAATACCATAAAATGGTCTAAAATTATGCTGAAATACATTTCTTTAGCAAAATTATATTTTTCGAATTTGAAAAACGCTCCCAATCAATGATTAAAAGTTATAAGATTAACAGTTTTCTGGTGAAAACACCGACTCTTACCATTTATATATAATATGAGTATGACTTTAAACTCAAAAACAATTTTTTTTACCATAGTTAGACCAATCAAATTTTGTACCCATTTAAATTAAGTTTATCCTTATCATATATTAGCTTGTCCCTTCTATTGTAACCGAATGCGTGCGTATTATCGAAACTCACGGTCTGCGTCACGTGGGCATATACCGTATCCCTGGCAATAATACCGTTGTAACCGAACTTTTGAAAGCGTTGGATAAACGTTGCCCTCGGGCTGACACCTCAGACCAGTACATTGTCTGGGGAGACAAAAGGCTTTGGCGGGATGTTAATGTGGTAAGAAATGAACACTCAAATTATATAATACACGCAACTTGTAAAATATAAACATCATTTTTATATATTTTGCTCAAAATAGGCAAGCATTTATTTTTTACTAGAATAATAAATTTATAGAGATTCTATAATATTACCTAAGATTACTAATTCAATTGATTGTGGTTCGATAAAAGTAGATTTTATTTGCTTGATTTTAAGAAGAAGAAAAGAGGGATCCAAACCGAATCTGAACCGAACGGTTAAACCGCTAAAACTGGTATATTTTATAGAACCTGAACCAAACCTAAACCGCTAAAAAAATTCTAGCCTAACCTGAACCGAACCGCTAAAATGCCTCCGAACCGGTTCGAGCCTCATGATTTTATGCTTATAAAATAATATGTAAGTTATTATTAGTATATTGAAAAAATTTCAATTACATTCAAATTATTTTTAAGATTATCATCAATCACATTTGATTGATAAGTGTCGGTCATAATTTTTATAAACTTTAGTATATTGTCATTTTACAACATTTTTTAAAATATTTAGAAGCTTATAAATTATAATGCTTAGATAAAAATTAAATCCAAAATATTATTATAAATGACACATCAAATCTGATATCATATTGGCAGTGCCGGCTACCTAAGTTAGAGTGGAAAGATGCTTTTCAACAATTAAATTTATACTATCTCCTTATAGATGTAATTTGAGTGAGACGAATTTTGAAAATATATTAATTGTGAGGCTTAATAAAAAAAATTTAAGTAAAAAAGTAAAATATTGTTCATATTAAAATTAATCAGATATATATTTTTATATTTATAAATTAAATATTATTTTATAATGTGCCATTAATAAAAATGAAGGTTTTATATATGTGTTTTTTAAATTAATGATAAAATAAAAAAAATATTTTCCCTATACCTAATTCGAATGTAGGTTTGAATACAAAAGTGTTCAAATCGGTTTTTAGAGGTTCGAACCGAACCAATATTTTAATTTTTTACGAACCGAACCTAATTAAACCGTTATTTTTATCCGAACCTGAACCCGAACCGATATTCGTTTCGGTTTAGATCCCTGGAAAAAATATTAATTTTTAAATAAAATTTTTTAATATTTTTTCTTACACTTAAATTAAAGGTCGCGAGTATTCTGAAAACTTATTTCCGGCGTCTTAAAGATCCTCTCTTGACCAACGATCTTTACCGTCCCATTATCGAGAGCAATCGATTAGCAATTTTGGATGAACGATTGATAACATTTAAAAAATTTGTAATCTTGAATGATTTATAAACTCTTTAATTTTTATCAATTTTTTAAGAGGATAATGTGATATACTCTTCTAGCTGAAGAATTTCGATTTAAAATGCTCTAAAAAAAATAAATCCAGTATTTTATTTATTTATTAGTATTTATAAGTGAATTTTAATTTAGAAAATCTAAACATATTCTTCTCATTTATTATAAACATTTCTCGGCTGCATATTTTTTTATGCAATACTATTCATGAATAACTATGGAAAAGGCGATTATTATTCGAGTCGTTTCACGAATTAAGTTTATAAGATTCTCTGATTAAATTCTCTATGATACGAAAATTCATATTTTATTGTCATTTTTTACATTCTTAGATTCACATCTTACCAGTGCATCATTATCACACCCTGAAATACTTCATTAAACATCTCAACACCATAGCTTCCAATTCCCATCATAATAGGATGAATCCAAAAAACTTGGCCATAGTCTTTGGCCCCACTCTCGTTAGGCTTTCGAATGGGGATAACGATATAGGAACATTCGTTAAGGATATGCCAGATCAATGCAAGATTGTGGAGACTCTGATAAATCACGTAAAAACTCGAGAAAAATAAATAAATGTTATTATAAGTTTTAAAAAAGTAGTCAAAGAAGAAAAAAAGAAATGAAATCAGTAAATAAGAAATAAATTAAGTGAATTAAGCATTGTTTTTACAAGGAATATCGCGATACGTGATTTTTAAAGTTTATTGGAATGACATCAAGATTTAGTTGATAATATTTAGCAATATTTTTCATCGCACTTTATAAGTTGGTTACATATTTTTGTAATTCTTTATAGTTAATTTATAAAATAATTATTACCATATTTTAAAAAAAATGAATAATTCTATAATCTATAATTTGCATTTTTTTATTAATAAATCGTCGCTGTGTAATTTTTTGTATTATCTTTGTAAATGATTTAAATCAATAATCATGAAATTTGGGCTTAAACTTTCAAAAAAGAGATTTTTAATAATAAAAATATGATTATATTGAAAAAAATCCTGTTAAAAAAAATTATTTGCTTCTTTAACTTCCTGTTAAATTGAGAGCCAAAAGGCTAGAAAAGTAGAAGACTTTACTCTGTAGTTAATGCTATATGTAGAATCTATTTCTAGAAAAAAATATTATATTACCTTTAGTAGCTTTTCAGTGTTCTTGGTTCACTAGGGTCAATATAAATTTTTTTTCTAGTGATTCTATTACTTGGCTTTAACTGATAATTTTAAAGGAAAAGATTTACTAGCAAATTTCTTTATCTTAAAGTTATCCCACTCCCCGATATGGATGGAAGGGTGGCTTAGAGCATTATTTTAAATTTAGAATGGATTAAAAAAAATTTTAATTTTGGATTCATTAGCTATTGTTGAAAATATCCTAGCCTTGAAGAGAATATAAAATTTTAGGGATATCAAAATAATTTTTTATTTAGAAAAAAGGAAAGTTCAAGTGAGGCCAGTTTATTTGGATTGCTAAAGGAATTAGCTAAGAAAGTGGGGACTGCTTTCTCACCATCCAATGGGTGCATCTAAGTGAGACGTGTTGTCTCTATACGCTCTTGAAAGGGGGGAAGGATTCTGTGATGGCAGCAGAGCAAATTTCGCATTTTCTAACATTGAGGAATAGACCATAATAGAATGTAATTCCAAGTATGATGGGCAGATTGGCGATTATGACACCGTCATCTAAATACCATGAATTTAAAGTTGGTAGAAAGAGTTAGCTTGGATATTTTTGATTATGCTTTGAATGCCTAAACAGAATAAGATTGGGCTAGAGGGTCCTCAATTTTTGGATGCATTTTTCGGAGGGAATCATATTATGGTTATTATATTTTAGGACTGAGGGTTGGCCATAACTGTGATATGGTATTTAGAATATTTGGGAAAAAGTTGATTTTGTCAGGAAATTTTGTAAAAGAATTTATCATGTAAAAGGAATATGTTAGATAATTTATAAATGTTTGAAATTTAAAACTATTTTCGTGTAAATTTAATTCCCTTATAAAATCCTTAAACCTATTTTCAAGTAAAAAACATTTTTAAAATTATTTTGATGTAAATTAAATTTCTTAAAAAAATATAAAACTATTTTGCGCATTTAAAACTTATATTTATATATATAATGAATTATTAACTTTATTCTCTGCTGAAATATTTCCTTATGTCTAATTAATCAATTTCCCAATAATTAAACTTCAATTAAACAGGTAGGTAATTTCCCACTATTCAATTCTCCAAACACTATTTTCAATTAATTTTTCCAACTTTAAATCTTTAACGCTAAGGAAAAAAACGATAATCAAAACAGATATGATCTCTTTTTTTACTTTTATATATATATTTATTTACTAAACAAATAATATTCAAAAGGAAAATATAAAAAAATTTAATCGATAAATAATATCACTACAAACAAAATAATACAAAAAAAACATTCCGATAACAATATCTTATAGTATTGATAGAAAAAATTTACTAAGACACAAACAAAATAAATATAATTAATAATTACTACAATTCACCACATAATTTATTGTTATTTTGAATTTTCTGCAAAATACATTGGTGCAATAGTTATTATTACTTTCGAAAAATAATATCTCGAGCTCTTATCTACATTTATTATATAAGTTTCTTATCTATGGTGGAAATATTTTTGTATCTATATGGAAATACATTCATATCAATTATTTACTTAGGATATCGCAATGAAATCAAAGTTATAGAGTGTTATAATCAACAGTTTTTATTACGCGCAATATTTTTACTTCGTTATTATGGTCATCCTGAATAATTCCTCTTTTCGAGGAAAAAAAAATATAATTTCTAATAAAATTCTTAACTGTTTGAAAAAAACTTTCTCTACCAATACACCAAACACTAAAACCTTGACTCCCTTGTTTCGATAAAAATAAACAAATTCTTTCTACTTTTATTTAATCAACCTTCTTGACAACCCCAACATAGATAAACTTAAATAATGCCGACTCTGAAAACCCTTTTAATGAACAAAAGCAATCATCTAACTTACGCCTTTTTGAAGTTCATAATGGTTATTTAAACACAATCAAGTGTTTTTATAATAATAATAATAAGGATTTTTATTCTATTTAAGTTGTATGGAGAATTATGAATACAATAATATAGTATTATAACAGACTTTTCCATACGATTTAGATTTTCTAAGTTTTAGGAAAGGAAAGAGGATCAAGCTATCCCATATTTTCATCCTTCTTAGCCAAAAAAAATTTCGAGCACTCCTAGTGAAAGATTTTTTTTCCCCTTATGTGAAATTAGAATAAAATTATTTTTAATACATAACAATGAAATTTAAATGAATATATTATGTTTTTTTTCAATAAAGAATATAATATAATATATTATTGCTAATTTTATTTTTATTTGATAATTTTTTAAAGTTTCCTTTTAAAAATTATATAGCATTTCTAAACAGTAATAAGTTAATTTTAAAAAATCATGTTGTTACGTACGCCAATACACACCGCATTTACGTCGGCTAAAGCCGACAGTTTAACTATGCGTAGCTTGAACTATAACAACTATATAGTTAGTATCCTTACTATAAAGAAATCGCTAGTAGTCGGTAGTAGTGCTTGATATTATAAGAACTTGTAAATTGGTAGTATTGATTGAGAATGTATGTTTTATTATTAACTATTTATCTAAACATTAAGAAAAAAAGAAACATTTTTATTAAAATAAGTAAATTCGAAAATATCTACAATTTTAATGATAATCTTTTTCTGAAATAATATATATATATACGAATTTCATTATAACATCCAATTAAAGTAAAGCCTTTAACCATGATTTATAAAATAAACATTATTATTAATAATATAATAACAAGTCCAAATATAACATAATGCCTTAAACAATAATCATTTAAATGGACATATAATAATGCTTAAGACAATAATAAATAAAAAACTTTAAATTGAAATGTTAAATACAATGTAACAGATAAATATAACAATTTTACAAATATTAATTTATTATATCATATGGTAAATAATAGACGACTCTAATAAATTTATTATCTTATTATTTATGCGATTAATGAGAAATTAAGATTTAAAAGTTCAGCATTCTAAATTTTTATCATTTGTGAAAGTTCTAGCCGTGAACTAAACCTAACGAATACTTTTGTAATCTCTATGAACTGCTTAAACCTGTCTTACTAACTTTAGTAATGCAACTTGGAAAATAATAATATTATTTACAAATTCGGCGGATCTAGTAACTAATTTCATAAAGCTAGGATAGAATATTAAAAATAGAGTATATTCATATATTTATGGCGTCCTATATCCTATAAATGAACTACCTCTTTTTTTTTAGTGTGCATGGTTTTTCGACGAAACTAACCCTAAATTAGACATTCCGTATAGTGGTAATATCGACATCGCAAATGCCTTGGTAATTAATTCCAGGCCAAAGGATCAGAAGATAAGCGATGGGATAGCTGAATCGGGTATATTTATTTTCGCGATACTTTTGAGATAAATTAACTAGAGAAGGTCAACCATAGTATCTTTAATTTTTCGGGTTGAGTCAAACGGTTGACTTGGCTAATTCAACACTAGTCAATTTTTCAACCCGATTCTATTTTTTAAGATTAGCCTGTACAGTCTTTGACTTTCACAATAAATTAACAACTAATTTAAAATTATTTTAGAGAACATATTATATAGAACCTTTCCATAAAAAATAAATTTATAGATAATTTTAAATGCAGAGTTTAATATGCTTTTCAAAATGAAAAATAATTTTAAAATAATTTCTTTTGAGTATTTTTTGATTAAATTATACCTAAGATTTCTAAAGATTTTTTCTAAAAAATCTTTCATGATGAAATAAAAAAAATTTAAAAAAAATAATATTTTGATCTTCTTTAAAAAAAATTTCAATGTTGTGAATCTTCAAAGATTTTTTGCTTAAAATTTTTGGCAAAAAAATCTTTAAAATTTTTAAAGCTTCAAAACTTTGTAAAAAGGTTTAAAGATTTGACAAAACTCTGTAAGAAGGTTTAAAGATTTGAAGGCATAAAAAGTATGCAACTTTATAAAATTGAGTGCCCTCTTAAATTAATTTAATTTATGATTTCTCATAAGATCCCAGCTTTTTCCCTATAATCGAATCTTCTCCGCTTCATAATGACTGCGCATTATTCCCTAACATAACTAAAAACTCTTCTAATCAATCTCCCAAATCAACAACCACAAACGAAAATGATAGCGGGTTCGGAACTCTATCTTACCGGGGCAATCGAATTAATCGCTCAAAAACGGCCGACGTTCGAGAACTGACACGACCAAAATTATTTACGCGCGATCTTTTACTTAATCAAAATGGACCGGTTAATAGAGGACATACGATTTCCAACGTCCTGAATTCCAGCAGTGAAATTATCCAGAAACAACATGAAAGGGATTTATTCTCTTATTATAATCCTAAACAATCGTTCAACCCTTTGAATTTGAGGAATAACCATCTCCATTCTAGGTATATCAGCAAAAGCTATGCTAGCAAGCTAGAAAACACCAGCGGTTCAAGTAGCGGTAGAGAAGAAAGCAGGCAAGGGGACAATACAAGCGACTCGTCAAGTCTAGGCCAAAATTTGGATCCCCTCAAATCGATTAATCCTAGTAAACATTTTCAGCAACTGCCATTTAACCCAAGTAGTTCTGCTAAAGTTTCTCAGCAACCACGTTTAGCGCGCCATCTTAAACAGCACCACTTCTACCATAACAATAAAATCTCAGACACTCCTATTTATCCCTTTGAAAATCGCTTAAAACCTAAGATAAATGGGGGCGGATCTTGCAAAATATCCCGAAGACATACTGTTATTGGGTTGACTGATATTCGAACTGACGTCGCTGATTGGTTAAAATACACCAAGAGTGAACTGCGCAGGCGTCGGCCATCAAAGCGACGTCATTTGTATCCATCCTTTGATCAAATGTCTTCGCCAACCTATTTAGAAATCATAGATAAGGGTTTTAACGGTGCTAAATTACGCGTTAACCTTATAAAAACAGTCCTATCCAACAAATATTACGCCGAATCAGCGGTTTAAAATTTCGAATTACTGCCAAAATATTAAATTTCCTTGCAATTTATTACACACAGTGGTAATAAACGATTAGATCATGATGTGTGCATTATCCATAACAATTTATGTAAAAGTTCGCTATATTGATCCTTAATATCATGTCATTATACAAGAATTGGTATTCTATGAATCAATGATTGTTACATTTTAAACTCGTTTATATAAATTATTCTGCTCTCCAAATACAAGCACAAACAACTATTCGGTGTATTATTATAATGTATTTTTTTTTGTTTTACGCATAATGCATTATAAAATTAACGCGAAAACCTTTACTTTGTAAATATAGAATATATTTTGACGAATATATATTTATAAATGAAAATACTATGCCTTCTGTTTTAAAAAGATCTTCCAGTTAAACTAACAAAGATTTAAAATTTTGTTCGGCATAATTTACATTTAACATTAAAAGTTCTTCCATACATTTATTTTTTTGTAAAAACCATTTTATATACCAAATATATTTTTTTATAGAGACCCCAAGAACCTTATTACGGAACGAGATCATCTGGAACTCTCCGAAAACTCAATGCGAGTTTTTGATTAAATTACATATTTCTTATAATTTATTTACAGGATGTTATTTTTAAATAATCGCGATAAACCCTTTGGCTTATTTTATTTATTTTTAAATAATAAAATAATTTTTATATATTTTGTTGTTCTTCGATTTATAAAGATATTTAAAATTAGATAGGGAAAGGAAGGAGTAAAACTACAAAGTAGAGAATAGAAATTCTCCGATTTATATATCGATCGATGCCTTTAATTTTAACCTAATAATAATTAGACTTCTATAGAAAAATTTAAGATTTTGACCTAATATTTAAAAACAATAATTAGACTTCTATAGAAAAATTTAAGATTTTAACCATATTTAAAAACAATAATTAGACATCTATTGAAAAATTTAAGATTTTAACCTAATATCGGTAAAACCAGATTTTATAATTTTCAAAAAATGATTTAAACTTAATAAAAATAATATTGCCGGAAAAACTACATTTACACTAACATATATAAGCATCATTGCTGGGAGTATAAATATATTCAAAATATCTTAATAATTAGTTTTAAAAGAGATTATCTCGGATGAAACTAAAACAAAAGATCCTCATTTATAAGAACAATTTTTTTATATTTTCTCTATAAAAGGGGGAACAATTTTATGAAATGGCTACCTTAAATTTATATTTCGTGTATATTAATCTTACCAGTAAACTATAAATCACGTTACTAGATGACAAGATGATCCGGAGGGAATACTACCCAATCCTGTAAATCTACCGGTTTGAGCCTCCGCAATATCAAATTGTTTGTTATAAAAAGTAAAAAATTCATTAATGTATAAAATCTTAATTTCAAATGATAAAATTAATAAATTATTTAGAAGTGATAATACTAGTGTTGTTAAAATTACTTTTGAAACATAACTAGTTACAGTTACTAGTTATATTTTAAAAGTAACTAGTTACATTATAATTTACTTTATACATCATTCATATATAACGCATTTATTTACTGAACGAATTTATTTAATATAAAAAAATATGATATACAAATTATAATCATTTGTTTAAAAAAAATATACAATTAATTTATATAAAAAAAATAAGTAAACCGAAAAAAATATCGGAAAATAGAATATTTATATTTACATCGAATAAAAATATCCTATATATTTGCATTGAAAAAAACATTCATTTTTCATAAAAATTTGAGTTTAATAAATGTTTATTTGCTTTTAACAACGGATTTCAAAATTTTTATCTAGGAGACGCGCTCGTTTCTCTCCAAAGATGAACTTCCCTAGACTGTATAAACGCTCTACAGGAGCACTTGATGTAAAAACATTATATTTAATAAAGAGTATTTTTAAATTTGGAAAATCGTCATATAAAGATAATGTACTGTTATTGGATTTAATAAATTTTCAAGAAATTCATCATTATCAATAATATTTTGACGCTTTAAATCAAAAAATCCAACTACATCTAATGATGTTTGTTGCGAATATTAACCATTTGTGTTAGATTCACCGCGAGTTATAAATGTATTTATTAAATTTAAAATTTACATCTTTTTTGTTCTATTCTTTTCTTGCCTTATCCAAGGCCAATCAGTTTTAAATAGTGGATGAAGAATAGCAGCAATTATATTATCATTATAATAAAGATCATGAAACCGATATCATTGTATTATTAATTTATAAATAATTTTTTAATTTAATAAACCTTTTTTTAATACTAGCTATTATAGTATCTTTTAAAGGTTGACAATATTTTAATTCTTGAATACCTTCCAGACAGATAAGTATCTGTGTTATTGTTGGGGTATAACAACCTAGATACATATATTTTTCACCTTCTAGTATATCAATAGCTTTAGCCACTGGTTGCATAATCTAATATTTTTAATTGAAAATTATTAATTTAAATTTACACTGCAATATTCTTTAATAAAATCACGATCTTGTGATGTAAATCTACATAATTCTAATTCATCACATAATTAATCGAAATCCAAAAGCATTTCATTTATGAGTGATAATATTTTATGGCAGCTGAGAATGTAATCTTTTTAATTTGCTCAGCTGATGGCCCAGATTTATTTTGTGTATTCCACAAACGTTGACAATTAGATATAGCAATCTTATGCGCTTTCCTATAATCCTCATTGTTTAAAAGTATTTCATTAGCATCTTGCGTTGCCACTAAGTTTAATGTTCGACAGGAACATCTTCGATGGTTGGGAAGGTAGTCAAAGTCATTTGGTTAGCCCAGAGGAAGACATTATATCTTCTATTGAAATGTATTCAATATCTGTATCATTATCTTCCTTTATTTAGAATACATGTAACTAGTTACTTCACAACACTAGATAATATTTAACAATTAATAAATTTAAACTAGTAAGTATCATTAGTTATTTTTAATATTAATTAAAAGTTCTAGAATAATCCAGTGTTTACCCTAAAACATGATTTAATTCGTGTATTATTATCGATTAATATAACATTAATAAACAACATGTTTTTTGCCTCCAAATTCATAATTATAATGAGTTATCACGTCATAATCAAAATTTTATTCAAATCGTATTTATTCTCTTTAAATGGGTTATTCATTCATTTATGCAAAAAAAAGTTTTACATTTCATTTTAGTCTTATTTTTGGGATTTTTTTTGTATTCTACAGTCAAGTACGTGCACATAAATATGATGAAAGTTAAAATAGAATACTTAAAATTTCATGTTGATTTCGCCGAATTTAGGTCTGGCCTTGAATATTGGAAGAAGTTATATAGCTCATGCAACAGTACCGATACGGTTAATGGAGATAGATGTTCTAATAGTGTTACAGGTAAGCAACATCATCAGTATAATAATCGTGAGCAAAATGAGGGGAAAAGTCATTACGAGTTTTTGGACGAGAATTCTAACACAACTCTTTACAAAAAGTTCCAATTGCTAAATATTCCGAATGCCTTTTTTATCCACAACGCTTCTGAATTGTGCTCTAACTTGAGTTGGAGTTACGACTTTTCTTCTTATTTCGGAAAATCTGCTACTACTTCTCCCATTATCGATTATATGAATAAGCTAAATATCGCTGACAACGTTACTTCCTTGTATCAAACCTATCTGAATATCATAAATGATAGCGCAAACAATTTTGACGAATATAATTTATTCAAATACAAACTTGAGAAGAATTCATTACATACTAAGGTTAATAGAGATAAATTTTCTACCTCGAAATATATTTCAAACATATACGGTAAGCCACCAATTAAACAAATGTCCCTAATCATTGGTTTATTTACTAAGCCAACAGATTTCGAGATTAGGCGGAACTTGAGAAAAATATGGGAATCTCCGCTTTCCGTCTATTTCAAATCAAGTTATTCCACAGATGCAAATTATACCAGCAGTTATTTCCCATTAATTAATTCTCGCAATGAAACGGTAATTTGCAAGGTAAAGACAGTGTTTATTTTGGGAATTTTTGAACCTAAAACTGTAGCTACGGTAAGTAAATTCTCGAATATTAGCACCGAGGAGATAAAGAGATTGGATAAAAATCGTGACCGGGAAAGGAAAGAAGTTCAGGCAACTATAAATTCTGAATCACTGGTGCACGGTGATATAGTACAAGCTACTTTCACGGAAAATTACACAAACCTATCTTATAAAACTGGCGCCCTTTTGAAATGGGTATCCACTCATTGCAATAAAGCGCAATTCTTACTTAAAATGGATGTAGACATTTATGCCAGGTTGGATATTTTGATGAGTGTGCTAGAAAATATAACATCCGCTAATATCGAATCAGAAGCTAGTTTTACTGATGACAAAATAGTGGGATCAGCGTATCAGAGGATATCAAAGAAATATATGCCAGAAAAAATACAGGTTATCCATAACAAGAGCAATAATGACCAGAATATCAATGAATCACCCGTAGTAGATGATTTGTTAGCATTTCAAAAAAGCTTTTATTGCAAAGTATGGGTTAAGATGCCAGTGTTACGCAATAGGAGGCATAAAAATTTGGTTGATGTGAAAGATTTCGAATCAAACTTTTACCCAAAATACTGTAGTGGGCCGGCTTACATAATGAGTCCCAGGTTAGCGGGGATTCTTTACCGAAAGTCTCTCGAATGTTGCGCTAAGCCTTTCCCCAATGAAGATGCTTTTTGGACAGGAATTATTCCAAACAAAACGATATCACTTAAGTACACGAACCTCGATCCTTATTATGAATATGGAAATAAGAATTGGAGCGAAAAAAACTATATATTCGCCAACTACTATAGCATGATGTTGGTGAAAAAGCTTTATTTTTACGATTCTTACTTGTAGAAATAATAGAGATGTTATTTAAAATTGCATAAGGCCATTTCCATTTTAGTTTACAGCGTTAAGCAAAAAGGTTCTCAATTTTTAGCATAAATAATGTTTGGAAACTACTAGGGAATAATTTCTTAAATAAAGGTAGATTGTACCCATTGTGTTAATTGTATAAAGCAAAAACCTGTCGAGATCAAATTTTTAGGCTCATCCTGGATTTTTTTTAAAAAGTAGGTGTTTATATTTTTAGGTGCCAACAGGATATAATGGTACTAAGAGATAATGTGATCAAATTGATAAATGAGGAATTATCGACAACTGGTGGAAATGTATCAATCACAAAATTAATAATAACTAAATTTGAGAAGCCTCTGTTTCTGATGCTGTAGGATTAATCAATTTAGTTTGAATTAAATTTGATTTATTAGATATACCAAGTCGTAACCTAGGTAACCTTTTATCAGATGAAGAATTAAGAGTTGCCATATATAGTTTGTCATTCTATAATACTCAATATAATACCTGCTGAGATCTATATATCCCTCACTCATATCCGAATCTACTATCAATTTCATTTTTTTTATCATGATATTTCTTATCCTATCCTCATTAAAATTTGTTCTTACCAGTAAATAACTAACTTAAATGATAATAAATTTATTTTCATCTTTTGATCCTTACAGTGTCAATTTTTATATGTATTTTCTCATCTGTTTTGTCATATAATATCCTTAGCCTTTTCCTTTATATTTTCCCCATTACTTCAAGAAAGAACTTTAAATATTTCTATATTATCCATTTCACTACTTGCAATTTAAATTAGTTTTTTCTTTAAAAATATATCTTTATCATCTTTAATTCCTTTAGGATCTCCGATTTTTTTGACTCCATTTCTATTCCTGATTGAACTTATTTCTTTATTAATCCGTCACCTAACTTTGTGCTTACCTTTATCTGCTAATACAAGAGGACATATTCTCATATATTTATGTATAAGAATATTTTCCATAAAACCTTTTATAATATTAATCTCTAGAGTCCTATTAAATCTATTAGAATTAATAGTATCCTTTATTCAAACATATATATATATCCCTTATTTCATTATATATAAGAGAATCTTATAATTCTTAAGTATATTTACTACATGATAAAAAAATCCCCTATATATTATTAATTCGTCCTTCTGACCATTACTAGGCTCACTTTTGGCGCTAGGAGCAATAGCAGCTTTATTAGGCGTAATATGGAAAACATCCAATAATCTTATTTTTATTCTTTTTGCAGTTGTCGCTATAATAATAACTTTTTACATATGAGGAAAGGACTTACAACATGAATCCTCTATATCAGGAGAGATGTTATCTACAATCTCTAAAAGATTAAAGTTTTCTTTTAATCTATTTATTGTTTCAGAAATTATATTCTTTGTCTCTTTTTTTGGACATACTTTCACTTTAGACTTTACCCTGACCCTGAAATCGGTAATAACTGGCCTCCTATGGGGGTAATACCCATTCCCTTCTTTGACCCCTTTTAAACACTATTATTTTACTAATAAAAGGAATTTCAATCACCTGAGCTGATCACTCATTTTTTTCAGTGAAAAAATTCAGTTCAGTATTATACCTCACTGCTATCACTGTAATCTTAGGGTTATACTTTACATACTTCAAGTTGAAGAGTACTTTCAATCACCTTTTTCAATTAATGATTCTTGCTTTGGAAAAATTTTCGTGGCAACAGGATTCCTTGGGTTTCATATTATTGTATTCTGTGCCTTGGTATTTAGGTTTATCTTTAATTTGGGACTTAAAATCCGTTTCTTCATTTCCAAAAAATTCTCTTACCTGATTGATACAGTCGAAACAAAACAATTAAATATTTCAAATTAACAAATTATATTTTTTTTTACCAATCGTTATCTCTTATATATGTAAAGCGGAACTTTAAAATTTTTAAATAAAATCTAAAGTATATTATTTTTTAAAACAAACTCCTTTAAATCACCATAATTATCGAGATATTTTTAAATCCCTGAAATTCGACCTGTATATTTTAATTTAAAATAGTAATTATTTTAGTAAAATTAATGAATCTTTAGATGTTTTTTGATTTATTGGATTATATTATCCTTCGATATTTTATGCATCATAATTCAGATTATCATTTTCTAGCGAAATTCCCATGATATCATCTGCCTCAAAATTCTCTTCCATTTCTATCTCTATTGGCGAAAATATTAAAATTACTTGATAAATTAGATTTATAAAATTGAGATATAAATTCAAATTTTAAAATTAATTATGTAATTATAAATGAAATTTAGTATTTATTATAGTATATATTTGATGATAAAATATTAAAACAAGTATATAAAAATATGTAAAATTACCAGAGTTGTTAAAAGATACTTTTTAAATGGATCTAGATACAGATACAGATACATAGTCTCAAAAGTTATCTAGATACAGATACAGCGTCTAAAAAGTTATCAAGATACAGATACAATTTTTAAATGTATCTGTATACAGATATATTTTTTTATGCTCTTATAGGTTTGCATAAACCTAAATTAATATTATATTGTGAAAATTCATGAAATGAGCTAAAAATTTATTGACGCGATATAACATTTATCAGAATATAACCAAAATTATAATTTTAATAAAATATATGAAAATATATGATTAAATAATTATTAGATTTCAGTAATAAAATATTTTCAAAATTTTGATCATTTAGGCATCCTCGTTTATCTGTGAAGACATTTTTAGCAACACTAAATAGTCTTTCCACAGGGGCGCTTGAAGGAATTGTAGTGTTATATTATTTTATATCAGTTCTTTAAAAATGCTAAAATCTCTACATTTATTTTTGAAAAAGTTATTTAAAATTTGTTGATTATCAAAATTTAAATCATTATTAGAAATTATATCTGCTGTAGGGTACTGAAAAAAATCTGAAATTAAATTATTTGTTTTTTTTGGCAGGTTATTTGCTTGCAGTCAGTTGATGACTTTGATAATTCACCAGCTAATCTTTGTATCAATTGTTTTCTTTTATAATGGCTGCATGCCATCTATAATAAAAGCAATAATTAAATCATCTAAAGTGCCTTGAGTTAAAGTCAAAGGTCTTTTAGCAAAAATATTATTGGAGGATGAGCCTTGCCAATATTTTCTTTAGTATTTTATTTTCATTCCCCTTTTTTATTTTTGTTAACAAGGTTGGATATTTTCTCTTAAAATTTTAATTAGAATTTTAAATATATATCTATACCCTTATGTGCTTCACGATATTGCACGTTGAAGTCATACTGACGGATATTTTTGTATTTTTAGGTAGACACGGCAAACCTTTTACCATCAGAGAATTAATTGTTTTCTTTGTTTTGAGATATTATTTTAAAATATGCTCAATTTGGCCATGGTAAAGCAATAGAACTTGTTGCTTCCTCTTCTTCATCGATATAGATCTAAATAAATATATAAACTTAAAAATTTAGTTATAAAATAAAATTTACCATTTCCATATTGTGATATTAAAATTTGTATGGTTTATTGATAAACTCGGACATAATATTTAAATTAATGAATATTTATATATATTTTTTATATATAAGTTTTAATATTTTATGTATATATAATTCTTTATTATAGTATTAATAAATATTAATATATAATATATGTATATTTATTTATTTCATAAGCTCATATGAAATAAAATAAATTTTACAGTCAAATATTTTTATTTACAATAAAAAAAGGGGTATATAAAATGTATCTTAAAAAGTATTTAAAAACAGATACAGATACCTCTAAAAAAATATCTAGATACAGATACCTTTCTCTATCTTGATACAGATACTACATTTTTATAGATACTTGTATCTAGATACTTTAACAACTCTGAAAATTACTAAATAAAAATAAATATATATATTATAAGTATCGAAGGCTCTAAAAAGAGCTTAATTTAATAATGAATATGTACCTAAAAAAAGTATAATTGTGTTTAAAAATTTCTAGTTGAAGTTTTTGTTTAAGAAATATGGATTCGCGATTTTCGTTTGTTATGTTAAAAAATTTTCGTGATAAGGTTTTTTAAAAAAAATATGTAGACTAAAAAATTGGCGTTAGTTGATATGACTATTGGCTGAAATATAAAGTTATTTAATTTTTAATATTTATTAATTTTTTTATTCTCCTCACAAGAGGGTTTGAATTAATTGACGAAGGAAAGGAGAAGACGCAGGTTGCGTCCCAAATAAGGGATTTCCCATTGGACAAGGGGGTGCAGGTTAAACCGCCGGGTTTGAGGCCGTCCTGTAATGAGAGGTTGGTTTAAGGATGTTGGGTATTATGGCCTTATTAAAAGCGTTATGGGGGATTTTATTAATTGCTTTATGCCGGAGATGGCGACCTTGTCTGCGGGTGCAGTTTTTAAATAAATAAAAAGTATCATCAATTAAAAAAAATACTCTATATTTATTATATAAAATTTTAAAATAAAGTCGGGTAAGCGGAAAATAATTCTCCGGAAAAAAATCCCTAGTAATAATTCTTAGAAAATAATTCTCCTAAATTGATTTTTTCAAAATCTTAAAATATATTATTTGAGGATTTTATTCCATGGATATATTTTTATAAGGAAATTTTTCTCCTTTTATATTAATTTTGTGATTATTAATATCTTAAAAAACGGGGATTTTTTTTCAGGGGAATTATTTTCCTGGATTTGAAATAACGTGCTATTTAGATACTCTCTAAAAGAGCACACTATTAGCTACCGCTATTAAATAAAGTAACGCGCTACTTTAGCTTCTTAAATAGCCCATTAGATAATTTTTCTAAACTGATTAATTGATATCCCTTTCTTTTAATTTTTTTTAATAAACTCGGTTCGATTTTGTAAAAAAATTGGTCAAGTCCGGTTTAGTAATTTTCTATTCAAATCCGGGCGAAATTTTAAAAATTATTTATCTGCCCTGGCTCCAGGTCTGCATTTTTCTATATAAAGTTACAAAAATTGCTCATATAAAATAATCTAAATACTTTTTTCTCAATTAAATAATTCCAATTAAAAATAAATTTGTATTCAAAAAATCTAGGAACCGGAGACCATTTTTGATCGAGTCAATAAGTACCTACTCAACTTGGGGTTAGGTTAGGGTTGCGAATAAATTAAATACTAATTCAGACATACATTTCAAACATAAATATATAAATGATTTTATTCATTTAAATAATAAAGAAGTATCGAATATTGGTAGTCTGTATTGCGAGGAATTGCTTAGTAGAATGGATATTAGTAGTAGGAATTTAGCTCAATTTAAATATAAGAATTTAATTAATCAAGTGAAAAAAGTTTCTTTATTTGATAAAATAATATTTAAAAAATCCATCATAAGTAAAACTGATTTCTTTTATTAAATAACAAATTTTTATGATGTAAAATAACTGATTGAAAAATGTAATTTTCTCATGAGCTTTATATATATAATAAAATGTAAAACAATTACGGTTATAAAACATAGCTGCAAACTCATATTAACAATTTAAAAGTAATAATAAAAAGATAAGTTAATATAGTACGCAATTTATTTTAATATGTAACAAATAATTTTTTTAAAATATATATTTATGGGAATTCTCAGACCAAATATTTTAAAAAAGGATACTGATGGGGTTCTATGAATTTTTTAAAAAAATATAAACCCTCTAAAATGGATCACCCTAATATTTTGAACAATATAATCTTCTCTTATATGATAAAAGGCTCGTCACATTTTGTGATATTTTTTTGTCGCATGTTTGTGTCATATTTTGTGACAAAGTGAACAATATTTGAATTTGGAATTGAACACTAAATACGATAAGTGAACATTTGCCGCAGCAGCTTAACGCTATGCCCTCACAGCAGTAGCCTAGTGTTATGCCTGCACGGATTCTCAACCTTATGAAAGTAGATGTCTAATATAGGTAACAATCGATAGCTAATAAGAAAATATATTAAACAGGAGGTCAAACTCTTCCCCTTAATAGGCGAGTCTAGGTCTAGGAAGTCATTACTATTTTAATCAACATAAAATATCGCTATGGATATTAAGAATAAAATTTGATATGGGTATCAAATAAAAGGTAATTAAAATGTCATTTGATTGTAATGAAAATTATCACTTTAAGAGGGGGATCAGAAATATTTTTATCAAAACAAAATATTAAGGTATTAATCAAATAAAAACTAATTAAAAAATATTTTAACTCAAATAACAGTATTCACTCTTGGACTTAATGTGTTGGACATAAGTATGGGGGAAGGGGTAAAAAAATTAGATATGGGTATAAATTCTTATTCCCCGTCATTTTTGACGGGTTATCTACTAGTTAAAGACAATAAACTATTTTCACTTTTTTAAAATCTTTTTCTGAAAAATTTTAACATGGGTTCGAGTTTAGGGTTAAGGCAGCTTCAAATTCCTAGATTTATCTCGGTTTCCGAAATTTTTTTTTTTTAAATCCATCTCAAAATAATGTTTTGATTTTCGTTATAAAAATTATATAAATAACGATAATTTTTGAGTGAAATTATATGCTTTTATTGGCCCCGGAATTTTATAAAAAAAATGACTAAAGAATTATATTCTAATATACATTTTTTTTCTTCAAATAAATAAATTTTATCATTATATATTTTGAATCAGCATTTTGTCGATAACATTGAATAATCTATCAAGTCCCTCGTTTAATGATTTATCGTCGTCATTGTCCACTTTTACATCCCAGTCCTTTATGGAATCGAGATCGCACTCACTCCGATTGTCATCCACACCTTCGAGAAGATGAAAAAAATAAGAAAATATTTATTTTTTCTCTTAGATAGAAGGATAAACAATTTAAATCTTAATGAATAAAACAAAAATAAATATTACAAGCTTCATTAAAAATAGAAAATTAAATGCCTGCGCAGTAGCGAGATCAATAAAATATTGGTCCAGCCATGCCATTATTCTTCTTTGATATTAAAAAATTAATTTTTTAAATGACGAAAAGTAACTAAAAATAATTCGAAAGTGGTTTCTTAAAGCGAACAATGAGATAAATTTTTAAACTTCGGCCACAATTCAGAATAATAAAAAACGCGCCATAATTCTGGTATATTAGATTCTTTATCATTCTAATATATTATATATTAACTGGAAATGTTTTAAATCATTTTCATCCTATTTTCCTATACATTTTCAATTTTCATATCATATATTATAATAAATAAGAATAAAAACAATAAATCAAACATAAAAATAATAAATCAAACAAAATATACCAGAGTCCTGCAGAAGTATCATTTAAAAGACATAGCCCAGATTGGATTTTTTTTCAAAAATTTTTTCCACCTGGCCCAGGTTTTATATTTTTATGACCAGCCCAGCCCTGAATTTTTTAGAAATTTTCAGGCCCAGCCCAAATTTTCTTAAACTATATTATATTTATTTTTAATTTTTATAGCTAATAATGTCGATTTAAGATAAAAAAAAATTCAGGCCCTGCCTGGATACATTTAAAAAAATTGGGCCTGGGTAGGCTGGGCCTGCAGATCTCTGAAATATACATCATAAAATTATTATCCAAGCTAAACCTTGAAATTTACAGCAATTACATTTGAATAAAATTGGAGCATGTATTTATAATTAGTCAATTTATTTAAAAAATTTTAATTAAATTTTGAAATGGAAAGAGGGGGTAGAATTATATTATATATAAATAAATAATCTTAAAATGGATTTTAATTCTATAAGAATTTTTTTTTACTATCATAAAATTGCAACAAAAATTCTCATAAAATCAAACTACCCCCTACTCACACCACCTTTGTTAGAGGGCACTGGTCAAAACAAAAATTCCCTTGATATTAACATGGCAAAAAATCTGCTATTTTTTAAAACACATATAATAGCTAAAATCTTTTTAATCAATAAAATATGGGCTCTAAAGGCAAAAGATATTTGTAATCCATAATAAATAAAGTTAAGAAGCTACCATTGGATGAGGGTTAAGGGGATTAATTTAAATAAATATATCAAAAAAGGATAGTACCAATACCTCTCTTAACTAATCCTATATTTCTACTAGGTGAAGTAAAAATTATTTTTTTTCATAAGTATATAATTATATTTATAAGTATGACTATAATGGCCATGATTTTTTTTAGAATTTTAATGGTGACAAATTATATTAACCTTACAAATCAAAAAAAAATCAAATCCATTTTTTTTTAAAAAAGAAGTAATTTATGAATGATATTTACAAAATTTATAACCTTCTGATTAACTATTATAAATTTTAAAATAAACCAAAAATATTTCTTTAATTTATATTTAAAAATACCTGGTGTAAATATCCACCCTCGTTTCAAACGGGAAGCGGATCCTGCTTTAATCAATACTTTAATTGACTTCCTAAGTAGGATTTTTTCTGTAAAAAATTTTAAATCTGATTTATATCGAACATCACTAATTATCCAAATTGGGAAAGAAGTATTTGATATTGTTTTTTCTGAATGATTTAAATGAAGATTTTCCATGACCTCATAATTTTTTTCTATTGCATCTTTGCAAAAAATATGTGGATCACTTATTCTTAATAATTGCCCATAAAAAATCATTTCCTTGCGATATTTTTCTTTAAATTCAGATGAATCCAATAATTTGTGAAAGCAAATACCCTTTAACTAAATTTATTTGTAGAAATATAATTTTATTAGTTTACTTTAGCATATCTAAATTTAAGAGGGGCAGATAAGTGCATAATTTTGCACATCTTACCATATCTAATATATAAATGCAAAATTTATAATTATTTATTTAATCACTTATCTCCAATTTTATTAGCTATAAAATCCTTCCCACATTTTCTTTTGCCACTAATTAGGATTACAATATTATTACAATTATACATAAATCATAGAAGAACCATAGAAAATTGTAAAAACCAGCTGTTCATAATCTTTCAGGTCGAAAACCAAACGATAAAAAATGAGAAATCATATGTTTGTATTTTATTGATAATACAACTTAAAATATTATTTATATTGTATATTTCTTTATTATCCAGCTATAAAATCATGGTTCAATATAAATTTAACATTTATTATATAATTTTATATTAAATATTTTCATTTATTATATTATTAAATATTTTTTGGTTAATTATTGAAATATAATAAAGCACTAGGCCATTATCTTTAAGGCCCAGTAGACTATGAATTGTCATTCCTAGCTCCAATCTTGGATTATAATTTAAGTTATTATTTTTAAAATATATGAAGGGAATACCATTATAATTTAAAATAAGTAAATAATAATGTAGCAATATCGTCATCAAAGATGGCAAATTTTTTAGGGGGGTAAGTATAGGTTTTTGATGGTATGCTTCCAGTGAATATCCTATCATATAGAGGTTAGGAGAGTGGATAAATTTAAAATACATGAGCGGGCGAGCGAGTTAAAATTAATACATTGAGTCGGCTTTCAAGTTAAAACACGCCCATTGCAGACCTTTAGTTCAGTAATATGTTATAAATAACATTATTTTACTTCTAAAATGAGTATTACCTAAAGCGAAAACATTATGAAGATGATAAGGACAATTGAAGAAACGGAGTTTTTCTATTTACCTGTTATGTTTATATAATATTTTTTTCAGGGATGCCACAACGTCAAGATCTTCTAAATATATGACAATTATGTATGAAATTCTTTTTAAAAATATCATAAAAAACAAATAATACAGGGAATGCTAAATTTAATATCTAGTAAAAGTAATAGCAAAATCATAAACGAAGTGATTTCATTCAGCAATTTATCAAAAACTTTAATAAAGCACAATATAAATATAATATTAGGAAGCTATATAAAAAAATGAAAAAAATTTTTTCGAACCAAAATTAATTTAAGAATGGCTTGGGTTCCTAAAAAGGAACAATAGTTTTGGTAAATTTTAAAAAAAACTAAAAGTGATAGATATGAACTGTCAGTTGGTAGAAGGTGAAATTGGCAAGAATATAAAATGAGGCTTTTGTATTTGTTTATTATTTTAGTGTCTGTTTGAATAAGTAGGTTTCTATTTATATTGATAGGGAAGGATAAGACCCATGCATAATCCTAAATAAGAGATTTGCCCATCCCAGAGGATAGTGGTAAGACCGTCATCTGTTGAGAGGTTACATGGTTCTAGAATATTAGGTATATGTTTTAAAAGTAGGTTTAATATTTGTTTATTGAAGAGTGTTGTTGATGTCGACCTTGAATTTTGATGCAATTAAGGCCACCCTTATCATTTATTATGAGGTTGCAGTTCTATCAATGAGGAGGATGAACTAGGTCGCATCCGAGTCTATATCCTAAAGTAAGTTTTAGTTGTACATTGGCTAAGAGATTCTGCTCAGCAAGGCTTCCAGCCATTCGTGGCCTCCGATAATATTTTCGTTTTAAAATAGTAGAGATGAAGAGGAAGATAAATTTGTAGTTTTTGGTAAGATTATGGTTTTTGATCTATAATTACCATTGGTTAACTTTATTTATTTATCTGTCATATGATTGATTGAAATTTATTAATATAAAAATTTTTTGTTCTTCAATATAGCCATTTTTTTGTAAAAAAAATAAATTTTTTTAATTTTAAGCATATATTTTGATCAACATTCTTTGAAACTAGATAAAAATGAGATGCACAGGATAATATTTTAATAAAGGGCAGGGTAAATCGGGTAAAAAATCTTTATGGATTATAAAGATACCTTGGATTGTAATTTAGATACCTATTCCAATTGTTTTTCTTATTTATATTTTATACTTTTTTGAATTATAGATTTTTTTTAACCAATGACATATATAATACCTAGACTGACGATTCATTCATTAAAATGCATTTTTAAGCGTCGTTAAAAGCAAATCAGCTGGAGTCGCCATTTTGGTAACACATATAGTAATTATTCTCATGTTAAAAACGACTATTAAATTGATAACTTGCTCCCTTATTATCTCGATGATCCGGTAATTCTTTAATAGATTTTGCTTCAGATATAGGAATAAATTAGGCTCTCGTTTAAAATTTTAATAATAATTAGTGTAACCAAGATGGCGTCTCCAGCTGATTTGCATTGATGTACACTTTTAATGAATGAATCGTCAGTCTAAATATTATATATGTCATTGTTTTTAACAGATGATTCTGTCTCAATGGTCTATCATTACTTAAATTTTTTAAAATTTCATATTATCTGAGCATACAATTAAATTCTTGACTCTTTAGTCAAAATATTTATTTTTCAAATTTAAAATATAAAAATGCAAAACAAAATATATATTCTATATATTTATAAAAACTCACTATTAAAAATATAATTAAAATTTTAAAAATTCATTTTGAAAAAAAAACATAACAAAAAAAATATATAAAAAAAAATGAATAAATAAAATTCCACCAATCATATGGCAGATAAATAAATACAATATAACCAATGGTAATTATAGCTCACAAACCAACTTATCAAGTTTTTGATATTAGGGATGAAAAATATTATTATGGGTCACTATTATAGGAAAAAGTATAACAGGAGAGACACTGTCTTGCCTTATTGTGAAAGCTAGATGTAGTAAGTTTCCGCACTTAGTATGAAACTAGATAATAGTGAATTATATGTTAAATGGGAAGATTAGAAAGAGGAAATGGACAAGGTATGGATGGATATTAAGTGGATGCTACCCCCCCCCCTCCCCCCCCCAATTTTACAGGTAATAGGGCTAATTTCCAGTTAAACGAGGTTAAATTTAGATAAATATTTCCAGGAAAGATTTAATGTTTTCCAAAATCTCTATTAAATTTTTTTCCAAAAGGTGGGATATATAGGCATTTGTGGATAATATAAAGGCTTGAGCTAGAAGTGTATTTAAAAAATTATATTAAAGAGATTGTTAAAAATTTCGGATAATGATACCTCAGATGGAGGGATGTTTGATAAGGGTGATTCTTATAGGGAAAGGTTATTAAGGTATACGATTTTGTAGTCCAGTAACCCTTTGTTGTTATCTAAGAAACAGATTTACATTTTGGGATTTTTAAGAGTGTATCCTATATATTTGGAATTTGTTTAGAGGAAATTTAAAACTTTGTATATTTTTGGAATTCACAGATGCTTCCATCATCAAAATACCATATGTTTATGACCAAGTCAAATTTGGATTCAAGATCATATATCAAAAAAAATTTTTTTAAACCTTTTTCCATATACCCCGATAAGGTCGTGGATACCAAGATATAGGGGAGATCCGAGTAGATCCCCCTGCTTGATATCTTTGTCGGAGTCTATGATGTGTGAATAAAAATAGGAGTTTTAATGACGCGAGATATGCTATTGAAGACATTTGTATAATCAAGCTTGTTAATTGTGATGTTAAAACCAGGGACCCGGAGTGAACCGTAAAGAACCGTTAAACCATTATAAACCGTTTTAAATATAAGAACCGTAACCGAACCGATATAATTATTTTTTGAAGGAGTAAAAAGAACCTTTCTAAAAAAAGGTTAAACTGGTTTACCGGTTCAACCCTTTTTCAGTTTTTATATTTTAGGGATCAAAAAATTTTCAGTATCCAGAATTATATAAAGTTCCTCTTATAGTATTGGAGGTTCCCGCAACACAAGTTTCTGCAGAAAGGGCCTTTTCGGGGCTAAAATTTGTGTTATCGTCACAACAAACAAATATGAATCTATTTATATTAGACAGTTATTTTGAATCTTATATATTTTTTTTATATATAATTCATAGATGCTTATAATAAAAATAAATTAGACGATGGTGTTGCTTCAATAAAAATATCTCTAACCTAATGAACCATCATGAACCTTATTAATTAGCTGAACCGAATTTTTGTATATTTTTTCTTAAGAACCGAAACCAACACGTAATCATTATAATTTTTTACATACTGAATCGTAACATAACGGTTCGGGTCCCTGGTTAAAACCGAATTGATAAGTGCTTAGTAAGTTGTTAACACATTCAGTTTTGATCGGGTCATTATTATTTTTGCTAGTAATCTCTTGAATATAGAACGGATAAAAACATTTAAAAATAATTCTTTGAGGTGTGTTAGATTTTATGAGAAATTATAAGTGAGAATGGCAAACCATCAAGTCCTGCTTCAGAGAATTTGTTGAAAATGAACAAATACATAAGCCTCAGTAATTTATTATATGTTCTGAAAAACATTGAATAAATATATATATGCAGTTAATTTGATAATTTTAAAAAATAGTAAATAATGAACATATTATTTAAGTAAAAAAGAAAATTAATATTTATTTGTGAAAAAAGTTTTCGTCAAAGTATTTGTATTTAAATAATTTTTATAGAAAATATTTTGTAGGTCATTAATATTTAAAACATGTTTTTTATAAATGTATTTATTTTTATATTCAAATTAGAGATCTACAAATCATGGCCCGACCCATACCCGACCCAACTAGGGTCGGGCCTATTAATTTTTAAAAAATTTTGGTCCGGGTCAGGTCGGGTTTAAATTTTAAATATGATATCATTACAATTGTCAAATAAATTGATATATTTTAAAACTTTTGCAAGAAACTAGACGATAATATTTTTTATTTATAGAATATATTTTTTACAATCAGAAAAAAAATTTAATTTTTATATATTTGAATAAATTCAGGCTAAGCGGGCGGACAAATATAAAAAAATTATTCGCGATCGGGCCTGTAGGATAAATTTTTTTAAAAATTTCGGGCCGAGCTGGCTTTGAAAAATTAGCCCGATGCAGATAACTAATTCAAATATAACTTTTTAAAAATTTTCCAAACACGGAGCATACCTTTATTTTCATTTCTTTTATTCCCCTAAATATTTTTTTTGCTGTGTGTTATGTAAACATGTTTATTTTACGTTTTAAGCCAATAATTTTGGAAATTTTATTAATAATAAATAAAATAGTTTCAGAATAA